ACCTTTTTTCCAAATGATTAATATCAAGCTAGTTTTTTCAATGCAGCTTCATTTCACCGAGACGCCCAACTTTTTTCTCTTCGAAAATTGCGAAAACAGGTAGCTAACATACTGCGCAGGTGTAAAACATGTCGATTTGGTGACTATAAAAATTTAATTAATAACAGTTAGTTTTTCAGCTAAATGTTGAGATAATTTTATGAATAATTTGAAACAAGATTTGTCCGACAAAATAAAGGGTTTGGTCTACGATATCCCCCCCTCAAATATGTAGCAATTACGTTGCATAAAAAATGATTAATAACAAGTTGATTTTTTCAATGTAGGTTGGTAAATATTATTACAATTAAATGGTCAAACTGTCCTACAAATAAACAGGTAGCTATTTTCAGTCCTACACTCAAAAGTTGTCGATTTCACGATTTAACTTTTTTCATTAATAACCGGCTAAATCTTCGTGAGTATCTTCATTTTGATAAGACGCCCAAATTTTCTGTTGCGAAAATTCCAAAAACAGGTAGCTAACAGAGTGCGAAGGTGGAAAACATGTCTATTTGGTGATCATACAAATGTAAATAATAACAGTTAATTTTGTAGCTGAATGTTGAGATAGTTTCATAAATAATATGAAACAACATTTGTCCGACAAAATAAATGGTTTGATCTAGGCTAGTCTCCCTTCTCAAACATGTAGCAGATACGGTATATAAAAAATGATTTATAACCAGTTGATTTTTTTAATGTAGCTTAGTAAATATTACTACAATTAAATGGTTATACTGTCCTACAAATAAAGAGGTACATTTCTCCAGTCCTACACTCAAAAGTTGTCGACTTCACGGTAATACTTTATTCATCAATCACCGGCTAAATCTTCTCGAGCATCTTCGTATTGATAATACGCCTAACTTTCCTATTGCGAAAAGTTACAAAAGTAGTAGCTACTAGAGTGAGCATTAGTGAGCACATGTAAAATACCTTGATTAGATGATTATGCAAATGTAATTATTGACAGTTAACAGTTAATTTTTCAGGTGAATAATGAGATAATTTTATAAATAATTCGAAATTCGATTTGAGCCACAAAATAAATGGTTTGGTCTGCAGTGTCCCCTTTCTCAAAAATGTAGCAATTACTGGCTCATAAAAAACGATTTATAAGCAGTTGATTTTTTTACTGTAGTTTGATTAATATAACTACAATTACACAGAAGTAAGATTTCTCAGCCCTACATTCGAGAATTTCATTAGCATTATGCATATTATACGTAAATATGTACAGGGCTTTCATTTCAAAACTTGCCACTCACGTTATCTGCGTAAAGAGACAGATTCCTAGAAATCGCCGAAACACGTCAACAAATTTATTGAGGGGATACCACGATTCTTGGGTACCTACGTTAATTTGTTGACGTGTTCCGGCGATTTCCAGAAATCTGTCTCTTTAGACAGATAACGTGGGTGGCAAATTTCGAAATGAAAGCCCCTGTATGTATACATGTACGTATACAGATGCGTGTATAACAGTATATGTGTTATGTGTATGTACACATACCTACATTTATGTCGATGGTTTCCATTCGCATCGACGCGCATGCTCGTAAATAACACAGTATCGTAGTATAGGGTGATTCAAAAAGCGCGCCAGATTTGAATTGCTCGAAAAAGAGTTTTGGCATGCCATCAAAGTAGAGGGGGCCATGCCCTTTGTCATTTTCCATACCCAGATGGAGAAGGTTTGATCCAACCGGTTCATCTTAATTCGAAAGATATTTTAAAAAAATAGAGCTCCTTTTTTAATGTATTGAATCTTGCGCGCTTTTTTGCTGTATATAGGGTGAATACAGGGTGTTTTCTAAGTTAGAGTTTTTATTTTTAAATAACGTGGAACTTAAAAAAATACAGGAGTTTTCCAAATAATATTTTCTCGACAGCTCAAAAATAAAAGAGATAGGTATATTCATATCAAATAATATCAAAAATCGAATATTTTAATAATTATATTTTTCAAAATACAAAAGGTAAAATTCTTGAATTTAATCTTTTTTTCCAGTCTCTTTACGCAGATAACGTGGGTGGTAAGTTTTGAAATGAAAGCCCTGTACATATTTACGTATAATATGCATAAGGCTATTTTCGAAATTCTCGAATGTAGGGCTGAGAAATCTTACCTCTTTAGGACAATGTGACCATTCAATTGTAGTTATATTTACCAAACTACAGTAAAATCAACTGGTTATAAATCGTTTTTTATGAGCCAGTAATTGCTACATTTTCGAGAAAGGGGACACTGCAGACCAAACCATTTATTTTGTGGCTCAAATCGAATTTCGAATTATTTATAAAATTATCTCATTATTCACCTGAAAAATTAACTGTTAACTGTCAATAATTACATTTGCATAATCATCTAATCAAGGTATTTTACATGTGCTCACTCTAGTAGCTACTACTTTTGCAACTTTTCGCAATAGAAAAGTTAGGCGTATTATCAATACGAAGATGCTCGAGAAGATTAAGCCGGTGTCCGGTGATTGATGAGTAAAGTATTATCGTGAAGTCGACAACTTTTGAGTGTAGGACTGGAGAAATGTACCTCTATATTTGTAGGACAGTGTAACCATTTAATTGTAGTAATATTTACTAAGCTACATTAAAAAAATCAACTGGTTATAAATCATTTTTTATGTACCGTATCTGCTACATGTTTGAGAAGGGAGACTAGCCTAGATCAAACCATTTATTTTGTCGGACAACTGTTGTTTCATATTATTTATGAAACTATCTCAACATTCAGCTACAAAATTAACTGTTATTATTTACATTTTCATGATCACCAAATAGACATGTTTTCCACCTGCGCACTCTGTTAGCTACCTGTTTTTGGAATTTTCGCAACAGAAAATTTGGGCGTCTTATCAAAATGAAGATACTCACGAAGATTTAGCCGGTTATTAATGAAAAAAGTTAAATCGTGAAATCTACAACTTTTGAGTGTAGGACTGAAAATAGCTACCTGTTTATTTGTAGGACAGTGTGACCATTTAATTGTAATAATATTTACCAACCTACATTGAAAAAATCAACTTGTTATTAATCATTTTTTATGCAACGTAATTGCTACATGTTTGAGGGGGGGGGACATCGTAGACCAAACCCTTTATTTTGTCGGACAAATGTTGTTTCAAATTATTCATAAAATTATCTCAACATTTAGCTGAAAAACTAACTGTTATTAATTAAATTTTCATAGTCACCAAATCGACATGTTTTACAGCTGCGCAGTATGTTAGCTACCTGTTTTCGCAATTTTCGAAGAGAAAAAAGTTGGGCGTCTCGGTGAAATGAAGCTGCATTGAAAAAACTAGCTTGTTATTAATGATTTGGAAAAAAGGTCCTCGGCCCCCGGACTATTAGTGATATTTGTTGAAGAAAACATACCACCATTACAATGGCCATTGGCTCGAATTACAGATGTCCATCCTGGTAAAGACAGCATAGTGCGTGTGATAAGTGTCAAAACCAAAAGTGGCAGTGTCTTGAAAAGGGCTCTAACAAAAGTTTGTTTATTGCCTATAGATTCTTCTCAAGAAGGATAAATAAAGTCCTTTGTTATTTTCATATTCCATGAAATTAACTTTGGGTTTCTGATGTGACTTTCCAATATTTTTGAATTTGTATATTTTGTTCAATTGAATTTTGCTTTGTATAGTTTTTCATCCATCATTTGCATTTAAAAAAAAAATGTTATTAGTTTTAATTGCTTATAAGTTTATCTGCCTTTCAGAAAAACTTCATAAGCTACTAATAATTATTAGTTGTATGTATTGTACTGAAATTACAGCAAATTTGTAAACTAGTTTAAGGCTGCTCTGTTGCTAAAATTTTGTCTTAGGTCAGTTTTATGTAGGAATTTCTTTTCTTTGTTGAAAGAGACTTCGTCTTTTCAAGGGCGGCGATATGTTCCGTATTGCCCAAATATTTAATATTTGAATTTAAATTTTCGCTCCCGTGTTACTTTTGAAAAGGCTATATTGATGGGAGAGAGGTGAAGGCTGTCAAATGTAATTTTTTTTTTTTAATGATCAAGAAGTCTGGCAAGTTTTGAAGTGTGTCTCTATGGTATTGTAAAACAATTATTAATTAACAACTATTGTAAAAAAAAGAGAAGTCAGAAAAGCAAGGGGCAGCAACAAGCAAGAAAAAATAATTAGTCCCAGAGACGGCTGCAGAGAAATTGTCGTCATAAGGTGGACGAACGAAAATAATATGAATATTAGTTGAGGCACTAATTAAGAGAATACGCGAAGGTTGCCTGCGAAAATCCTGCCGAAACAGTGTTTTTCAATTTTTTTTATTAGATAAATAAATACAGTAACTATCTTTTAGAGGTGGACATGAAATGAAATCACTATGTTGTAGGAGAGCGTGAGGCGAATTCAACCATATAAGGCTGCCTGCCCCCACCCTGCCGCAACACCCTTGCAGCCTGGCTAAAAAGGTCGGTTTTTTATCAATAACTATCGTCATCAGGTGGACGCATAAATTAGGTCTCAAATTAAAGGTCTCAATCTCCTCTTTCCATCAAACTAAGGCTGCCTGCTCAAATCCTGCCGAAAGATGTGGTTGCCTCGTTTTTAAAGTTTCCGGTACGTGCGCCGCGTGCTAGGTATTTGCGGAGCGCGAGGTGTTTAGTGGCGAAAAAGTCGTATACAAAACACCGAAACGAGTTTTTATTTTTGCTCCTTGTCACTTTGTGTTACTTCTCATATTTAAATTATTGATAAGGATCTATAAAACAATACGTCAGGATCTAACACATGCGCCGCGCGCGTGCTTTTTGCGAAGCCAGGCCTAGGAATTCCACCCTCTGGCCGCTACGGCTACCACCGCAAGTGCAGTATCTAGACGTAGAAGTCGTCGAGCTTTCATTTCCGATTATTTTTTTTTTAAATAAACGTGAAATTCGTGCTTGTTTTAAGATATAGATGATAGATAAGATGATAGAGAAATTGAATCAAGAGATAAAACAACTGAAAGAAGAACAGAACGTGAAGCAAACAGAAATCAGTGACACAGAAGTTAAATACGAAATACAAAGACAAAATTTAGAAGAACTGAAAAGCAAAAACCACAAAATGGCTACGAGTATAACGAATCTGCAATCTGAAATAGCAAAACTTGTTTCTGAATCAAGAAGTGGCAAAATGGAAATCGCTGAATTGAATGAAGCACTACAAAGCTATAAAAATGAGCATAAAGCTATAAAAGAAGAAAACCTCTTGCTATTAGAAAAGATGAAAGCACAGAGTACGACCTGTAACCTTCTAGAAGATATGATGGATAGCGCAGATCAAACTGAAAAAGATCGAACTATAAATAATAAAGAAGAAATCATAGCTAAAATGAAAGAGGAGGTAAAAGAACTCAAAGAAATTAATAAAAGTATGACAGTTTCCATAAGTGTGTTGGAAGAGGAGAACAAAAGGCTAGAGAAAGAGTTGAAGGAATTACAAATGGAGTTTGACCGGATTTTAGCAGAACATATTTCATCAGAAAAATCACTGGTTGTAAATGATACAGAATCGAAAACTAAAAAAACTACAAAAGTAATCACTAAAAATACGCACAACAAACTAAATGTTAACTCTACCAAAAAACAAGCAAACATCACCAATATTCATGACGCAAACATCATTACTAATATGAATGATGCTTATCCCAGTGATTCTATCGAAGTTGGGTCAACTATAAACTGTAACTTAATCACTAGTTCTCAAAAAAAACATAAGATATTGTTTTTAACAGACCAGTATGGAAAATATTTGTTACCCTATCTTGAAAGACACCTTTCTGATAAATTTGACGTACAGATTGTGACCAAACCTAATGCTTTATTCATTGATGTGATAGGGGGGCATGAAGAATCAATTTCCAAAATGTCGAGCTCGGACTATGTTATAGTAATGGCGGGGCTAAATAACAATAACGTGAAACTGAGTGATATCACCCTAATTGCCAATACTTGCTTCTACACCAACCTAATTTTTTGTACCATACCTGCAAAATGTACTGATGGTTTGCCATATTGTCATGTCGACTATGTAAATGGTAAGATAGTAAATGCCGTTTCAAACCTAAGAAAATTTGTTAGCAATATCAATTGTCTTGACCTATCCAACAGATTTCGATACTCTGACTACTCAAAGAATGGCATTTATCTCAATAATAAAGGTCTTACTAAATTGGCGTCGCTCGTGAAAAGTATAATCTGTGCCTTTGGTATGTTACCTTCGCAATCCTTCTTAAAGCCAATCAGTTTGGGCAATTATGATAACTATTCTAATTATGATAACTATTCTAAAGATAACACCAGTCAGGTTGATGTCGGGTGCACAAATAAACTAATCCAACAAAATTTTTCCCAAGTTCTGGGACCTGCAAACCATCCGTAGTTAATGACAGTACTGATGCAGTTTCACTATTTTATCAAAACTGTCGTGGAGTGAAAACCAAACTTGATATCTTAAGGACTAATCTTTTGGATAGCTGTTATGACGTAGTTGCATTGACGGAAACTTGGCTAAACGATAAAATATTTACATCAGAATTTTGTCCAAAAAACTTGATATCATTTAGAAAAGACAGAAATAGTGTGATAACTTTGAAAAAACAGGGTGGAGGTGTATTTTTGGCTGTAAAAGATAGGTTTAAGTTAGCAGAATTTAATATTTTTGATGAAGAGCAAGAGGCGATTTGTATACAACTTAGTTTAGCCAATAATAGGTATTTATATTTAGTTTTAGTTTATATCGTACCTGACAGTCCACTAGACGTGTATGAATTTTTTTTTGAAAGATTGGAATTGGGTTTATTGGGCAGGGCAGATACGGATTTTATTATACTGGGTGATTTCAACGTACCAGGGTTTAACAATGACACCTCGACCAACAATATTGTAAATAATCTAAAGGCATTTCAAGCTTTCAACAATCTTTCTCAATTCAACAGCATACAAAACAACAATGGTGTACTACTGGATCTCGTTTTTGGATCATTTGATTGCTTGGTGGTAGAACAGGCTGAAGAACCGCTGGTAGCAATTGATAGTCACCATCCGTGTTTGGATATTAGACTGTCAATTAAGACTTCTCAAAGCTGTAGACTGGTCCCTACTGCCAAATTCAATTTCAGGAAAGCCAATTATCTTCTTATGTATGAGCTGTTTCAGGAACAAGACTGGGATGATTTATGCGATTTCACAAATGCTAATCTGGCAATTGATGCTTTTTATAAAATAATACACAACATATTTGAGAAATGCGTACCAAAGTCTACACAAAAAAGTAAGAAGTATCCAACTTGGTTCAACAATGAAATAATAAAACTTTTAAAGCAAAAACACACATGCTTTTTGAAATCTCGTAAATACAAGTCTCAGTTTTGGAAAACCAGATATAACGGTTTGAGAACCTTAATCAGGAATAAAATCAAAACAGCCCATGCTGAATACTTGGTGGATGTTGAATCAAGCTTGAAATCTAACCCAAAACTTTTCTGGTCATATCTTCAAAGCTTTAAGGAAAGTCCAGAGATTTTGGATGAAATGGCGTTTGAGAATGAAATATTCTCGGGAACATTCAACATTGTTAACGGCTTTGCAAAATATTTCAAATCTGTGTTTATCAGTAATGATAATATTGCCGATCACACCAATGCAAATAATGCTAAAACATACTTTTGTGATGCAGAAATATCTGTTATGGACATAAAAAAGGCTTTCAAAAAACTTAAACCAAACAAGTCTATTGGCCATGATGGTATTCCTGCATTTATACTGAAAGGGTGCAGTGAATTTTTACTTGTTCCTTTAAAAATCTTGTTTAATCTTATGCTTAAAACCGCCACATTCCCAGAAAAATGGAAACTTAGTAAAGTGATACCTATACACAAAAGTGGTCCTAAACAAGATATTAAAAACTATAGACCCATAACAATAGTGTGTGCAATCTCAAAAATATTTGAAATTGTTATATTTGAATTGCTTTTCAATGAAGTATCACTTAAAATATCTCCCAATCAACATGGTTTCCTACCAAAAAGGTCCACATTTACAAATCTAACAATCTTTACGCAATATATACATGAAGCATTGAATAGGAAAACACAGGTAGATGTTATCTACACTGACTTAGAAAAAGCATTTGATAAAGTAAGTCACAATACTATTTTGGATGGTCTGGAGGCAATGGATGTTCCTCCATACCTGAATAATTTAATTCAATCTTACTTAGGAACAGACTTATTGAAATCACCTCGATTGAAGATTGCGAAATTCTTACAAGATTTAGCGAGTTATTGTCAGAAAAATAGCTTTAACTTAAATTTGAACAAATGCTCATGTCTCAGTTTCAGTCGTAATAAAAACCCAATTGAATTTGACTATACAATAAATAATGAAAAACTAAAACGTGTTTTCTGAACAAAAGGATTTGGGTGTAATTTTTGAAGATAATCTTTCATTTTCTTCTCATATTGTTTCGAAGATTGAGAGTGCCCAGAGAGTTGCCGGGTTTATCTGTAGAAATACTAAACAGTTCAATATTGATGTCAGCATCCACCTATTTGATAGTCTGGTATTACCGATACTGGAGTATGGTAGTATAATTTGGTCCCCTCAGTATCACATTTGGATAAGTATTATCCAGGGAGTTCAAAGAAAATTTTTGAAGAATTTCAAATACAAATATTGTGAAGGACTGCTTTTGTAATTTTTTTTTTACTTGCAAGTTTCCTATTGACAGGTTTGTTTACAGAATCGTGACGTCAAAAAAGGTAGCCATCATGGAAGTATTGTTTTGGCGGGAATTTTTTTATTTCAAATTTAGTATTATTTTTTGTGTAACAAGAGCGGTATCAGTTAAATAAAAACTGGTCATATAAATATTGTGCAGTATAGGTACACTATCGATTTAAAACAAATTTGGAAAATTTTAGTTCACTTGCAAGTTCCCTATTTTCAGTGGTTAAATTCCCAGAGAAGAGAAAACCGGTCAGCAAAAATCTCTCATTAGCTGACCGTCTATTATTCATCGATAGACTATCAAAATTTATATTTTGAAATTTAGTTAGGAAATGTCATCTTTTTGACATTGACTTTAGTTGTCAAAAGTTGTTCATTTTAACACACACGCCAAAATAAGCAGGTGTTCTAATACAGTGTTAAAATGAGATCTCATTTCATCCCTGAGTGTTGGAATAGGATTTAGAGTGCGTTCCGCGTGAGTGTTAAGATGAGTTTATAAGGGCCGTTTCCACCAACTATTTTAGGGGAGCCCTAACGATAATAATTATTCCCTAAACAGACATTTTTCTATATAAAAATGAAATGTCATTTTAGGGAATACTTATCGTTAAGGCTCCCCTAAAATAGTTGGTGGAAACGGCTATAAGTATTTTGAATTTTAAATATTTTGAATGAATCACAAAAAATACTGTATGAAACACGTCGCAAGGCTGGTTTTTTGCACGTAATGTGTTGGACCAATCGTCACATGAAGCTTTTAGCAGTTGTGAAAATTATGGCTTTTTAAAAATTAGGTTTAACTATTTTTAAATTTTGAAATGTAGGAATATATGCAACTTGAACGTACTTTAATAAACGTTTCTTGTCAAAAAAGTTCATGCTTTTTTTTTAAGCAACCAATCAACATCTACCCCTCAACCCCCCCCCCCCCCCCCCCCCCCACCCCATAATGGACCTGAATTCCTCTTGATATCAAACTATGGTTTTCATGACGTTTTGTTTTATAGATCCTTATCGATAATTTAAATATTAGAAGTAGCGCAAAGTGACAAGGAGCAAAAATAAAAACTCGTTTCGGTGTTTTGTAGACGACTTTTTCGCCACTAAACACCTCGCGCTCCGCAAATACCTAGCGCGCGGCGCACGTACCGGAAACTTTAAAAACGAGGCAACCACATCTTTCGGCAGGATTTGAGCAGGCAGCCTTAGTTTGATGGAAAGAGGAGATCGAGACCTTTAATTTGAGACCTAATTTATGCGTCCACCTGATGACGATAGTTATTAATAAAAAACCGACCTTATGAGCCAGGCTGCAAGGGTGTTGCGGCAGGGTGGGGGCAGGCAGCCTTATATGGTTGAATTCGCCTCACGCTCCCCTACAACATGGTGATTTCATTTCATGTCCACCTCTAAAAGATAGTTACTGTAATTATTCATCTAATGAAAAAATTTGAAAAACACTGTTTCGGCAGGATTTTCGCAGGCAACCTCCGCGTATTCTCTTAATTAGTGCCTAAACTAATATTCATATTTTTTTCGCTCGTCCACCTTATGACGACAGATTCTCTGCAGCCGTCTCTCGTACTAAATAAACCAGGAAAAAAATAAGCCAGTCTCTCATTTTGTCCACCTAACAAATAAGTGGAGGAAACAAATAGAACCACAACATTTACACAGACCAGGATCCTTATAGAGGCTGAAACTGTTAAACTCTGAATAGAAAATAGAAAAAAATATTGAGTAGGTATTTAAAGGCATTCAAGTTATTTAACCGTATTAATTATTGAAGATAATCACGCAAACGACGAAAATTGCTGCTGTTCTGCTAGCTTCAAATAGAATCTTTTTTAAATTAATTACATTATAACTTCTTGAAATTTAAAACCGAAACGAGTTAAAACTTAGGTACTTCTAAATTAGTTCAAGCTCAAAATCCATTAGAGCTACTTAA